ACCCTCCTTGTGGTCAGTCTGCACAAGATCAACAAGTGTGTTTGCTTTGCGACCCCTTTTAAATACAAGATAAGCATTCGATCTACGTCAGAGCATCCACGAATCTTTCTACAGCGTTGTTGGCAGGGCGGCCAGAGCGATTTTTGATGCTCTCCGCAGCTTTCAGCGGGTGGGACTGTTAGCGTTATTAATAAAGAAACGTAGGAACATGAGACAGTAAAGAGCGGGACATTCTTGATATTAAAAAGACAGACAGTATTAAAAACTCAAAGCCGCGAAACGGAACTTAATCCGCTCCTGACTGCATGTTTTCTGCGAGCGAGGTCTGAGTGGAACACGGAGAAGCATAGACTGGCGCGCCTAAAACGGACAAAACACGGAGTGTCAAAATGCCTGCACTGGTGTGTATTCACATAAATACGGTCGACATGCACTGTGCATGTCTTCATGCACATTCTTCACTCACTCAGTCTCTCGCTCACACACACATAGCGAGAGAGAACTCTGAAGAGAATTCATCCCCTGTAAATCAACCTCACAGAAAAAAGCCCAACGGTTAGTTGCATATATTTGTGTATTTTAGTTTAGTTTCCATGGTCCTAATAAAGTTACTATTATTAAAACTTTATTGAAAAAAATAAAAAATAATAAAATAATTATATACTGTATGTTGAGTATGCTGAAATAAAATGTTTAAGGTTTTCAAATATATTTTAAATAATTTCAGGTAAAAGTTTATTTTATTTCAAGTAACAAAAAAAATGGTTTTTTATGGTTTTAGTTTGTTTTAGTTAACTACAATAACCCTTGTCTACACCGTAATATAAAGCAACAAACACCCCATTACAACCAATCGAAGCCGTATGCAAAACAACACCACTCGCTAACTAGAGTCTTTCAGTTTTACTGTCACATTGTGTAACTCGCTTGCAGTGTGTCTACAGAGAAATGGATGTCTGTATATACGGCTTCACTGCTCTAAGCAAATACTTTGTAGTAGATTTCCTCTTGTCTGCAAGGAAAGACCAAGAAAGAAATAGCAAGACATGCACATTCTTCACTCACTCAGTCTCTCGCTCACACACACATAGCGAGAGAGAACTCTGAAGAGAATTCATCCCCTGTAAATCAACCTCACAGAAAAAAGCCCAACGGTTAGTTGCATATATTTGTGTATTTTAGTTTAGTTTCCATGGTCCTAATAAAGTTACTATTATTAAAACTTTATTGAAAAAAAAAAAATAATAATAAAATAATTATATACTGTATGTTGAGTATGCTGAAATAAAATGTTTAAGGTTTTCAAATATATTTTAAATAATTTCAGGTAAAAGTTTATTTTATTTCAAGTAACAAAAAAAATTGTTTTTTATGGTTTTAGTTTGTTTTAGTTAACTACAATAACCCTTGTCTACACCGTAATATAAAGCAACAAACACCCCATTACAACCAATCGAAGCCGTATACATTTGCATACATGCAAAACAACACCACTCGCTAACTAGAGTCTTTCAGTTTTGCTGTCACATTGTGTAACTCGCTTGCAGTGTGTCTACAGAGAAATGGATGTCTGTATATACGGCTTCACTGCTCTAAGCAAATACTTTCTAGTAGATTTCCTCTTGTCTGCAAGGAAAGACCAAGAAAGAAACAGCAAGGGCACATTACCAGGGCACATTCATTAAGTTTATAAACAGGCTTAAGTCCATAAAATAGAAAAGACATAACAGCATGAACACAGATCTAATGTCAAGCTTAGAACTGAACTGAAAACTAAATATCCATAGGCAATTCATCAAAGCTCATTGAAATTTTGAGAGTTTGATGCATTAACACTTAAGTCACTGCTTAAGAAAGTACTTTTAAGGTCCATTATGCAGTATTTATGTAAATGCATGAGCCATTCAGGAAGGCTGTTCAGCTCTGTTGTGACTGTGGCATATCTCCATGCTATTTCTGAACAACGCCAGCATCTGGAAAGGAATTAATTCCTTAAATAACATGTCCTTTGACTAATACATTTCCATGACTTGTCCAGGAATTATCCAGTCATTTGTTCCAGAGATGAGCTGGACAAGAAAATAAAAACGGACACATTCTGCACTGTATTTTGTGCACTACTCTTGCTTCTCACATGTGTACGTAACAAAATCTCATGTGTATTGCTTTAACCCTGTAAAGCCTGACATATGAAATAATCAATTTATATATGGAACAGTTTAATGAACCTTTAAACATTAAAAAAAAATAAAAATCTAAAAAAGTTAAATCTAAAATAGTTAGAATATGGAGCTCATCTTCAAGAAAGAAAGAAAAAACACCTCAGTTTTATTCAGAGCCCCAAACAACGTGCAATTTAGTGCAGATGCTGATATTTATATGGCCAAAAAATATGATGAAATTCTGATAGCTTGTAATGTAAATCAATGAGATCTTTATAACAGTAGAGCAAATATTTCCATAAAACGACAAATATCAGTCGTCACTCTATATCTTCAATAATATGTCTTACTAAGATGATATTTAAATGATCAAAACATATAATGCAATACAAGATAATGATGATTGAGAGATGAACAAATAAACGCTTCTCAAAAGCCTGATGATCATATTTGACTCACTGATTTTTCTAAAATTATTTATGGAGAATCAAGTAAACCTGAGCTGCTTCAGTCCAGTAAGTGTTCATCTGGCAACATTACTAACAATATCAAAGTTATTCTTACATTTATTTAATAAAAATCAGTAAAGATTTGACAGCAAAAAGACCATGAGCTGAAGGTGGGAGTTTGTACAATTATACTAAAAGACCTTTTACTTATTAAACAAACTATCAATCAGACGACAGAAGGCATGGAGGAGATTGTGTGTGACAGGTTTTTCAGTAAAGTTCTGATCATGTTGATAATCTAGATCAGGGTTCGTACACATTTTTACCAATAAATTTCCATGACTTTTGAGACAATATTCATGACCTAAATGTTCCATTATTTTACAATAAGAATAAAAATCTTTTCAAATGATCATAGCATATGTTAACTAAAATGAATGACTATTAATGCTACTCGTTTGCTTTCTTGTTTTAGTAATAAGTACAAGCTGCAACTGCTGCAACTGCAACTATTATAATTTATTTAACTGTGTGGCCACCATGGCCATTTTGGTGTCATTTTGTGTGTATTTTTGCTGCTTAAATGCAACAAGCTGCGCTTTAGAGCCCTGCATTTCAGCCTGAGCCCAACGGCCCCAACTTATTTATGGCTTCGGGACAATTTTCACGTCATAGCTCAGACACAGACCAGGCATCAGGCTTGCTTCCTCCTTATTTTTATATTTTAGATATCCATCAATTATTATGGTGATGACAAAGATTTGCCGCGCTGGTGGAAACAACACAAGACCGTGCTACCGCGACTGTCACGAGTGGCTCGGACGGTGTTTAGTGTCCAGCAGCAGTGAGTGCTGGAAGAGTTCGATGTTAAAGCGCACGCAATGCTGCACTTTAACATGATGGATCTGAATCAGGTGTTCATTTTTGTGAAGCGCTCTTGCTCAAGACCGAGACAGCAGAAAGCGTATCCTGTTTGTTTTCTAAAAAAGCACAACGTATGCTGATATTGTGAGTGCACACAAATAAAAGTAGACCCTTAACAGTCCCGAATGATGTATTACTCTTACCTTTATGAGCAAAAATTACGGTTGTTTCCACTGTTATAAGAAAAAAATGCAAGTGATCGTGCTGGCGACTCCATGTCCTGCAAAGCGCGCTTTAGCTTCTCTGCACAAACGATTGGATACGCGCCTAATAGCACACATTTATCTAGGTTAACCATTTAAGCTAAAATTGTTTTTTAAAGCATTTTATATAGGCCTATAGATTTTATTTTAGTCAAGTGGTGATGATTTGAGAAGGCTAAATTGATCAAACATAGGCTATGATTAATTCACTGTCTGCCACTGGCCGTTGGCCGTTACTTCAACAAAACAAAAACTTGAATTTAACAAACAAAAACATTTTACAAACATTTTTCTATATTAACGTAATAAAGAAACGAAAATATATATAACCACTTTTGCCATTAAAAACGAAACTGAACTTTTTATGGCTAATATTTTTTGTGAAATAGATTTCAATGACTTTTCCAAAACTTTCTGGGTTTATTTATTTTTCCAAAACTTTTCCAGGCCTGGAAATTGGTGTTTTAAAATTCCATGACTTTTCCAGGTTTTTCATGACCGTACGAACCCTGCTAGATGCTTTAGTAGGCTTTATAGGGTTAAATATCTTCAAATGAAGCTTCTCTGACAGACCTGGTCAATGACAAAGTCCAGGGTGCTGAGAAGCAGGAACCCGCGTCCGCGCACCAGATACTCTCCCAGTGCCACCATGTGACTCTCCTCCTCGTCCTCGGCCCGCTGGGCCACCGCACTACACAACTGGTGCACATCTGTCAGGAACTCCCGTGCCAGGGTGTTACTTGCCCCACTCATGTCCGAGCTGATGGAGGAGAGAAAGCGAGAGCATGAATACATGTATATCATCTGCTAGAACCTGCTACAGCGCTGCTTTAGTTTCACATAACATTGCAGTTCTCTTTTTGTATAAATCAACAAGAAAATAAAAACAAGTGAAACTGCTCAGGTGGTTTCAGGTCCCATAAGTACCTCTATATAAACGGAGTTAGACACAAGAAAATCTACTATCCTTATAACCTAGTGTGCTTCTACTGTTTTAATATTTGCATGTAGTTAATTATGCAGTCTGTCTATCTGTCAACAGTCTTTGCAGATCAGATGCTGCCTATGTAAGGAGCTTAATACTTAGCAAAAACACACATTGGCATGTTCATGTCAATTTGGTTTTGTATGTAGCAAAAACACACGTTGGCATGTTACTGACAATTTAATTTATAGTAGTAAGCATGAGCGCTACTCTTCTGCACAGTGGTAACCTAAACATTTTTCTAAATTCCAAAACCTCTTCTAAATGTTCAAAATAACTCACCATTGCAAGTATACAACTCTAACATGTCATTTTCTTTCATTAAAAACACTTAAAATGACAATTTTTTTCAAAATGTCTCCCTCTCAATGCGATCCCTTGCAAAGCATGCTGGGAACTACACATCCACTGTTCAGTTTGTTGCGTCAACAAAATGTATTCATGTAGTAACACAAAATCATTACATTTGTACAAATTTAAGTGGACTGAACATAATGCAAATATTGTTTGGAAATGTTGTTGTTTCTGATCATTTTAACCAAGTAATTTGAACAAGCATTAAGAATATTTTTTTTGCATGCACCCAAAAAATAGCTTGTTCAGAGAACTTAATTAAATTAAGGAAAACTTTTCCACGCAATTAGTTCAGGTCCATACAAACAAGTTCAATTAAACAAATATTGTCAAATAAGTCTTGTTGTATGGACCTGAACTAATTGAGTGGAAAAGTTTTCCTTAATTTAATTAAGTTGTCTGAACAAGCTATGTATTTGAGTGTAGGTTTTGGCAAAAAAAAAAAGTGATCAACATCGCAATATCTCACAAAGGCTGGCAGCCCATTTGACCCCACCCGCCCATTCTTATCAATAATGCAGCAGCTAACCAATCGAACTTGATCAGTGAAATGTAGGTTATGGTATGCACACACACTATGACTATGTGAGGCCTGACAGAAACTACAGTGATGTTACGCAACAAGATGTTAGGCTTCATAAACACGGACAGCAGATCCTGTCATCAGACACTGCTGCAGCGTACTGTATCGCATCAACCAGTTTTTCCATCCACCACATCAACCGCTGGACAGGATTTCAGCCGTCTCACTTTACCAAACCACAGACAGCAGAACAAATTGTCACAATAAGTGAAACAATTCCAAGACATTGATTTAACCTAATTTCTTTGAAGACATTAAGGATGATTGCACTAATTAACCATCAAATGAAACCCCAAAAATCAAAAGAAAAAGGATATTTTCACAATTTATATTTTACATAAAGACAATGATTAAATGTATATTAGACTTGCACGAGTTGGAGAAAACAATCCAATTACAATTTTCCTGATAAAAACTGTATTTGCAATTTAAAAAGCATTTTCTACAAAGGAAAAAAAAAATCCAGGCCAAAATTTTGTGATGTCAATATGACAATATTACTATTATTATTATTACTATTACCAATAATAATAAATATTATTATTTTTATTTAAAAAAATCAAATATTAATATATTATATTTCACGGTTAAATAAAAGTGTATTTACAAAAACAATATAATAATAAAAAAAATTATAATTTTATTTTAAAGTAGAAGTGTAAAATTACACTACTAAATAATTTGTCTTAATTTGTCTCTTCATTTTCAAACTTTAAACCATAAATATAAATTATTATTTTTATATATATTAAAATTGTGTGTTTATATATATATTTCATTTATTTATTCTTAAAAAAAGAGCGAAGAATTTTCCAAAAATAGTCAATACCGTGTGGTTATTTAATATGGCCATTAGGGTTGTGACGGTGAGGAAATTTTCCCACCGGTTAATCGACGTGTGACAACACCGGTAATACCGGTATCACCGTTGGGGGGGGGGGGGGGGGGGGGGGGTGTTAGTTCGTTTGAGTTTCCCTATTTTTTCTTCTCTTTCAAATGGCTTGTAAAAGTACCGTGCTCATCTAATTTTCACTTTAAAATTATCTGCAATTCAGCGTTGATTCAATTCAAGCAACAACAACGTCAAACTCAGAACTTTTATTAACAAAACGAATAACAATACACCATACTGTATATGTCTAATAAAATAACATATTACTTGGGCTACACAAAGTTTAAATAGGTATATAAAACTGAAAATCAGCAAACACTAGGGAACCAAATAAATAAGAAACCTAGAACGTTTATTAGCAAAACGAATAAGAAAGCTTGGAGGCACGGCATATACACCTTGATGTAAAATAAAATAAATAAAATACACAAAGTTTAAATAAAGTAATCAGCAAACACTGTGGAACCAAATAAATAAGAAACGAATGTTTAAAAAAAACTTCCAGTCAATAGGCTTTTCAAAATTTAAAATAGTGCCAAACAGGCGCCTTTGCATTTCCTTTCTAAACAATCTTCTGCCATCGTCTTGTCTTTCTCACCTCACTCTTGTCAGTCAGCTCGACTCACTCTCCTCACGTGATAAATCAAATCTGACTCCTGCTCCGTGGTCGTTCGTGCACGGTTCGGCACGCTGCATTGAGCGTTTAGTTTTTAAAAGTGTCTGTCCTCTAACTGAACTTGCCTAAATTATTTTTGTTACTATAAAAAAAAATCTAAACGATGGTGGGGGGGCGGTGCCGCGGTTGGCAAATGATGTAACCGGTGTTGCGGCTTAACATCGGTATAACCGAAAACACCGTCTATCGCAGCAAGCCTAATGGCCATACTGCCCCCACCCCAAATTCACACATGCTCTGTTGCACAATGCTCAAATACACAATATTAGCAGACATTTTAATACGTTCACTTTACATCACAGCCGTTCCAGCACACGCACCATAAACACACCCCGACGGTGCTTTAAAGACACGCCTCCTTTACAATCTACAGTACCTCTTATAACCAGCCCGCAGTGGAACTCAAAATCTGCATCATCATCCGCAGTGTTTCAGCCACATATTCCACTCATGCTCGTAGTAACGTCTCTGCATAAACCGCAACAATCAAGTCTGCGTCTGCATGCCTCCACACTTCACTAATGACTGAATTTTCTGTCCTGCTCTGTAAATTCCATTAAATCGGAATTTCAGATGGAAGCTTTCCAGATTTTGAGTTGATCAGTGCATCACATGAAAGCATGTGATGTCACATGGTCGCACAGGGGCAGGCTGGGAAGCACACTTCTGGTCAGGCCTGGGGGTGACTCAGAGTAATTTGATTTTTGTCGTAAAGCTTAGATGGTGAACCTGTTATTTTCCAGACGCTAAAACAATCCTGTTATGTAAAAACAAATCTTACTCCTCTGCAAACCATTTTATCTTATTTTGCACAACCATGCTTGTATTTCCATAAATGAGTAAACCAGATTTTACAAATGGACTCCATCTTTTTAAACACTGTTATATTAAAACTGAATTATCAAAAACGAACACGAAAGAAGATATTTTGAAGACATTTTTCAAAATGTCTTACTTTCTTCAGTCGAAAACAAATGAAGTCAGTTGGGTTTGGAACAACATGAGCAAATGATGACAGAAGATTAACATTAATGTTATTAACTAACATTAGTTAAAAATACAACTGGTCATTGTTATTTCATGTTAGCTCAGATACAACTTTTCATTTTAATAATGTACTGTATAAGGTTGAAATTAACATTAACTAAGACTAATAAATTCTTTAGAACAGTGGTCACCAACGTGGTGCCCGTGTCTCCGAGTCGCCTGCCAAGCACGTTCTATAAATAGCCTAAATTAGCGTCGGGCGATAAATGATATCATATCGAGATTATGATGAAATTTATTTTAATAATGATGATAAACTCTGGACATTTTTACTCAATATGGATTAATCACAACGTCTGCGTCTCAATATATGAGGACATGACACATGCACTTCATCTTCAGAGCTGCTCTGAGAGTCACTTCACCAGCTTTATGCAGTTTCATTTGAGAAAAAATACCGTCAAATACACGCTGAAACTAAAACTAAACCTGAAAGACCTTCACGACAGACCGTCAAAATAAAAGTCCGGTTTAACTTGAAATTATACGATTGAATACGTTACTGCTGTATACTACAATGCAATTCTCAATGTAATAATAATATTATTATTTTAAAGGAATATCATACAACCAATAAATTTTTTTATTATTAATTTACTTTAGAACAGTGGTCACCAACGTGGTGCCCGTGTCTCTGAGTCGCCTGCCAAGCACGTTCTATAAATAGCCTAAATTAGCGTCGGGCGATAAATGATATCATATCGAGATTATGATGAAATTTATTTTAATAATGATGATAAACTCTGGACATTTTTACTCAATATGGATTAATCACAACGTCTGCGTCTCAATATATGAGGACATGACACATGCACTTCATCTTCAGAGCTGCTCTGAGAGTCACTTCACCAGCTTTATGCAGTTTCATTTGAGAAAAAATACCGTCAAATACACGCTGAAACTAAAACTAAACCTGAAAGACCTTCACGACAGACCGTCAAAATAAAAGTCCGGTTTAACTTGAAATTATACGATTGAATACGTTACTGCTGTATACTACAATGCAATTCTCAATGTAATAATAATATTATTATTTTAAAGGAATATCATACAACCAATTAATTTTTTTATTATTAATTTATACAGTTCTGTTGTGCAGCATCATGTCTGATAAAATAAATAAAAAAATAAAATAAATGAAAATGCAATGTTTTGTTGTAAATTTATTTTAATTTGATTACATTTTAAAATATTGGTTAAATTGTTAGTTTTATTAATTCATTTCACTAGACACCATTTTTTGCGTGGCCTAGCCCGTCTCCAGATCTCAACCCCATAGAAAATCTTTGGAGGGAGTTGCAAATCCGTGTTGCCCAGCGACAGCCCCAAAACATTACTGCTCTAGAGGAGATCTGCATGGAGGAATGGGCCAAAATACCAGCAACAGTGTGTGAAAACCTTGTGAAGACTTACAGAAAACATTTGACCTCTGTCATTGCCAACAAAGGGTATATAACAAAGTATTGAGATGAAATTTTGCTATTGACCAAATACTTATTTTCCACCATAATTTGCAAATAAATTCTTTAAAAATCCTACAATGTGATTTTCTGGATTTTTTCCCCTCATTTTGTCTCTCATAGTTGAGGTATACCTATGATGGAGGTATAAGGAGGCCATACAAAATTAAAATAAAATATATACGTTTTTGGTTATGTGTGAATAAAGACTATTTAGTTGTTTCAGTTTGTTATTTGCCTAATAAATAACAGTAGTTTTTTTTTTTACGAGTTTTTGACAGATTCCTAATATATTTGTGTTTTCTCTTTATTATGACAGGTGGTCAAATACATTTAAGCACTGTATTTCAAAAGCAATTTCTTAGTGTTTCATTGTCTTAGTTTATATAAGCCAGTTTAAAAAAAGAATAAGATAAGACTTTAAATAAACTATATTAACTAATATACTGTCTAGTATCGAAGCCTGTTTCCGCCATGGGGTAAAACATTTTGACTTTTTTTTTTTTTCACACAGTTCAGATTTTCTCAGAAATGCTAGTTTACAACTTTTGATACAAATTCAGAATTGTGAGATAGGAACTTGTAATTCTGAGAAAAAAAGTTACAATTACTTTATTTATTTATTTAATCCTGTGTCGGAAACCAGCTTTCGTAATCTATTATTGTCCCAATATGAAAATATTACTTGGGAAAAAATGACTAAGTACTTAATATTTCTTAATTTTGGTTTTGACCAAGGAAAGACACCTCAGTAACACTTCACAAGTTTTCATTTGCTAACATTAGTAAACTACTTTATTTAACATGAAATAACACTGAGAAATACTTCTAAAGCAGGGGTCTCCAACGTTTTTGTGAGTGTGGGCTCCCTGAAGGGATAAAATAGTCTCAAGGGCTACTTGTTTGATATACTCAATACATACCTCCAAACACGACAAGTTGAGTTTTTACCAAAAAGTTCTATTTTGGTTTCATCTGACCATATGACATTCTCCCAATCCTCTTCTGGATCATCCAAATGCTCTCTAGCAAACTTCAGACGGGCCTGGACATGTACTGGCTTAAGCAGGGGGACACATCTGGCACTGCAGGATTTGAGTCCCTGGCGGCGCAGTGTGTTACTGATGGTAGCCCTTGTTACTTTGGTCCCAGCTCTCTGCAGGTCAGTCACTAGGTCCCCCCGTGTGGTTCTGAGATTTTTGCTCACAGTTCTTGTGATAATTTTGACCCCACGGGGTGAGATCTTGCGTGGAGCCCCAGATATTTCACAGGTATACCTATGATGAAAATTACAGGCCTCTCTCATCTTTTTAAGTGGGAGAACTTGCACAATTGGTGGCTGACTAAATACTTTTTTGCCCCACTGTATATTTCGGGCATCAGGGAGCCGCTATTATACCTGGCATTGAAACTGCTTTTGAATGCACAATCGCTTTTTAGTTTCACTTTCGAGATCGCACGTACTCTGTTTATACTATGGAGCAGCAGTACTTACCACACATTTTACAAGATTATATGTTTGTCAGTGGTGCTCGGGATCTGCAAATTATTCGTCATCATCCTCAGTCATCTCTCCTTACTCTGTTTATGTGGTAAGTGACATTTTATTTACTGTAATGTAACAGGCAACCGTTACACTGCGTCTACACCGGACGTGACAGTTGTCGTGTCGCGCCGCATTAGCTAAAGTCTGTCTGCACTGGTCGCGACAAAGCGACCATTGAAAATAATTTGAAATTTGTGTCAGCACATCATAAATAGAACGCGGAAGCAGTTTACTTTTGGGAATTTGTCGTGTCGCACCTCGCCGCATCCAGTGTAGACAGCATCACTGATTATAATAAGTTCTATACACTGATCTATAATGCATCTCTATTATAGATCAGTGGTTCTATAGTATTTTGCCACGCCGCTCGTGTCCGGTGTAGACACGTTGTTAGGAATCGTTATTTGTTTTCCGTGCCTTATAAGGATTCACGCTTTGGGCACACCACACACACACACCCCCCGCGCCGCCAATGTCATCATCCATCGCGATGTTTCACTGCAGACATCGTCCAATGCCAATTTTGTAGACATCGCCCAACCCTAATGCAAGTTAATAATAAACTCATAACTTGATATGCGGTCCCACTTTACCAGTGTCTCCCTGTCCCAGTTTGCCAATATGCTTCTGGTAAAGTGGAACAAAGGAAAAATGATTCAATATCTCCACAGAATATAAGGAAATCAGACAAGTTTGCAACAACAAAAGGTGTGAATAAATCCAGTTTTAGTTTCTGGGTGGACTATTGCTTTAACAAATTAATTACTTTATTATCTCACTCAAAGCAGATAAAAGATTTGAAAGGGTCAAAGGGCTTCATATGCATTCACATCGGACGGGTTGTAGCTTTTTCCATTTCCTGTGTTTAGGCTAAAGTTCCAGGAACTGCACATGATCATGAGATAAAGATTAGGAGCTGAGAAAACACACTTAATTGAGCACACGGCATGTAGCCACTGGGCCAGACAAAGAAAGCCTTTTATCACTCGCCTCAAACAATCAGCTTCTCTCAACACAATGCTAATTAACATGAGCTCTAGTCACTGGTTGCTATGATTTTAGTTAATCTAAACAAGGTTCAACTGACTGATGTCGGATCTGTAATTGAGTAAATTACACAAACAACACTGATCAGGAACTGTGATCTGTGCTTAAAATATCTGACAAAGATGCAGTGAGTCAGTGTTTTTATTTAGTGACAAAAAAAACAGATGAAATACAGTGAAACAACAAAGATGTTATTCAAAATTCTGCTTGACAGTCATGATCAAATGAATTTTCAAAATTTTTGGGTAACTATTTCTTTGAACACAAACTGTCAACTGAAACATGAAAAAGAAGACGGCTTACCAGAATTTGAGTGCATCCTTTGCTCTCGGGTCACTGAGTTGTCGCACACAGTGAAACGTGCACAGAAAACTCTCCAAGCACTGAAGACTGATCTGAAATCAGAAGAAAACAACATACATTTCTGTAATAAATGAGATTTCACTGATGAACTAGATGTTTGCATTTTCTGAAGAAAGCACAGTTTGTAGCACAGGACGAGTCAGGACACTCGGTTAGGAGTCTGATCAAATATATAACTTTGAATGATAGTAATAATAGGGCTGATTTAATTGAGCAAGCACTAGGAAAAATGCTCTTGCAAGGGAGCTTTGCACTGTGAACTTTAGAAGTACATCAAACGAGCACTAAAACAGTTTTAAATATGTTCTTTGTGAATGTGTTATATTTCCACACAAATGTATCAAAATGAGACATGCTTTGCCTTTGGCCAGTTTTGATCAGTCTTTTCCTTCATTCAGTCGACCAGTAAGTGCTCAAAACACCCAAAAACGTCTGTTTCTCCATTTACTGGAATAGACACAGAATAATCACATTACATGGAGCAACTTCCACTCACATGAGCGAGTGAGTAAGAGGCCAGATGCAGGGAAATATACTACAGCTGCTGCTGCTGCATCTACATGAGTGTGGCTGTGCCTCAGATCACATAATACCCTAAATAAAAAGTAATAAAACAATATAAATAAATAAATATTCTTCTTCATCATTCATTGTCATTATGATTATTTATTTATTTTCAAAATTGGGTTGAAAAATGACCCGCGACAAATTCTTGACAGATTTTGTGGGATTCATCCATATTATTATGGATAATAATCACATGAAATCTGTCAAGATTTCTGTGAAGGGTCATAATTTAAACCAAAATGTAAAAAAAATATATAATACAAAACAAATAAATAATATTAATAGTAATAACAATTATAAAAATTGCTGAATCTCTGAAAAACCTGTAAAAAAATTGTCAAGGGTCAATATGATAAAACCTGATATATATATATTAGGGCTGGGCAAGTTAGCGTGTTATTATCGCGTTAACGCATTAATTAATTAACGCCGACAATTCTTTTATGGTGCATTAACGCAGTTTTTATTATCATTATTATTATTATTTTGAAAGTCTGTTGCTCACTGGCTCGGAATACACATACAGACAAACCATGGGTCACAGGAGAGGTGGGATGTTGATCAGTACTGGTTTGGGATGGGTGTCATCATGCGTCTCAACCAATGAGAGCATTTGGGGTGGGCCTAACACCATGTCTACACCGGACATGAGCGGCATGTTGCGGCGCGACAAAATACTATAGAACCCATTATAATCAGTGTTGTGGTCTACACTGGATAGAGCGCTGCGCGACACGACAAATCCCCGAGAGTAAACTGCTGCCTCGTTCTATCTATGATGTACCGACACAAAATTCAAATGATTTGCAACGGTCACTTTGTCGCGTCCAGTCATTGTAGACAGTGCAGCATGACAACTGTCGCATCTGGTGTATAGGATCGCAACAAATGACAGCACGTATGATTTGTCGTGTCGTGTCGCGCTGCATCCAGTGTAGACAGCATCACTGATTATAATGGGTTCTATAGTATTTTGACGCATCGCGCAGCCGCTCGCGTCCGGTGTAGACACGGTGTCAAGACGCACCATCACAAAAATACACGAGGTATGTGAAAAGGAGATTTTAATTTGATTACATTAATGTTTAAGTTGAGATTTACAAAAAGCATTGGTCACACTTTACTTTAAGGTCCAATTCTCGCCATTAACAAACCATTAACTACAACTTTTGCCTCAAACTCCTAATTTGCTGCTTATTAATAGTTAGTAAGGTAGTTGTTAAGTTTAGGGTATTGGGTAGGATTAGGGATGTAGAATATGGTCATGCAGAATATGTACTTTATAAGCACTAATAAACAGCCAATAGGTTAACAATAGGCATGCTAATAAGCAACTAGTTAATAGTGAGAATTGGACCTTATACTAAAGTGTTAACGAAATATTTTAACTGCTACTACGTAAAGGGAATACTGCTGTAAAAAAGCACCTTATTTGTTCAAAGTGTTTGTAAACCAAATGTTATTGCACTTGTGTTCATACAGCAGTACTTTTAAAATAAAAGTACGCAATACAGTACTTTTTAATTCATTATTGAATTTTGCGCAAAATGCGATTAATTGCAGAAAAATCATGCGATTAATCGCGACAAAAAAAAAATTTAGCGTTGCCCAGCACTAATATATATATATATATATATATATATATATATATATATATATATATATATAGCCTATATAAAATGTAATTTATTTATTTTTTTATTACTGTTAATGATCCATTTTTTTCAATTATAAAATACCTATATATCATAAATCACAGGCACGTCTGGAATGTCTAATCTTCCCAGAATTTCCATCTGCAGACGGCCGGTCACCTGACCTTTTTAACTAGTAACCATGGGGGATGTGTGTTAATGCAGTCACAGGCTTGACAGCAGCTTTGACTGATCCTCCAGCTGTCAGACTGCACGCACACGTCTGCGGGAGCCGCTTCACTAATCTACAGCTTCCACAAAAGCATTTCACATGGACAAAAACCGGCTTTCAAAAAAAAAAAAAAAAAAACAGGTGACAATGGCTGCCTGAGATGCTTTGATCAATCCTTAAACTGTTGCACTGACATGCTTCATCACTTACAAACTAACTTTGTAACTACAAACTTCCAAGGTTTCCAAAAATTTCCATAAAATCCTGAGAAGTTTCCAAAAATTCTGGAAATTTCCAAAATGTATCTGAAATTTTCCACCCCTCTGCAACCATACACCACTTAGTGAATACATTTCTTTTGTTAAAAATTAAGTGCCAAACTAGGGTTGTGACGGTGAGGAAATTTTCCCACCGGTTAATCACCGTGTGACAACACGGATAATATTGGTATCACTGTGGGGGCAGGGGCGTTCCCTCTTTTCCCTTCGCTTTTAAAAGTGGCATGCACATTTTACTTTCACTTTCAAATAGCGGCAATTGTAAAGCAAAGCAATTGTTTGTTTTCAGTTAGTTTGAATTTTCCCTCTTTTCCTTGCTTTCCTTCGCTTTTAAATAGCTTAAAAGTTAGCGGTAATTCGGCGTCAATTGCTTGAATGCAACAACAAAATACAACGTCAAACTCACTTTAGCCTATATATAAAACATAGAACTTTTATTAACAAAACAAATAAAAATACACCATGCCATAGGGCAGACTATGCCTAAAATAAAATAACAAATAACTTACAAGTTTAAATAACAAATAACTTAAAAGTTTAAATAAATAGGTATACAAAACTGGAAATAAGTAAACACATAGTCTATAATATATAACCAAATAAATAAGAAAAGTAGAACGTTTATTAGCAAAACGAATAAGAAAGCTTGGAGGCACGGCATACACCTTGATGTCAAATAAAATAAATAAATTACACAAAGTTAAATCACCTTAGATAAATGGCAAAAGTCAACAGGCTTTTCAAAATCCAAAATCCTGCCAAACAGGAGCTTTTGAATTTCGTTTTGAAACTAAATCATCCACGATCGTCTTGTCTGTCTCACCTCACTCTTCTTGTCAGTCAGCTCGACTCACTGGATAAATGAAATCTGATCTGTGATGCGACTGTCGTTCGGCATGCTGCATTGAGCAGCCGCGTTCCGTTTTTAATGTCTGTTCTTTTACTGAACTAAATTATTTTTATTACTATATAAACGGTGGGGGTCGGTGCCGCGGTGGGCAAGTGACGTAACCGGTGTTGCGGCTTAACAACGGTATCACTGTCAGCACCATCTATCGCGGCAAGCCTATGCCAAACCAATAAAAACTAAAAGTTATTGTGCTCACAGAATTAAATTATTCTGAACATTAATTATTAAACTTATTTAATCACAAACATGATGTCTCTTCTGTGTGAATCTCAAAAATAACTGTCAAGAACACAACAAAGTCATCTTTCAGGCCTAAAATTAGAAAATGTGCATAAAAACAGCACTTTTTTCAGCATTTTATCTCGTATTTTCTATTCTCTGCATTATTCAGAAGTTATTGTGATAGAAATCATCAATCATCTATGAAAATTACTGTTTATGTCTAAAGCTTCAATGATTCAAGTCAGTTACTCAATTTCCTACAGACTAGACCCGTTTCAACAGCTCTGTACAAACATAAAAAAACTTCCTAGTTTTCATGTTCAGTCACCTCAAATGTCCCCTCATAATAATTTTCACTTAACAAAAGCTGTGGCTGTGCCTCAAATCACATACTATATTTTCCTAAATGGATAAATCCCACAAAACCTGTCCAAGAACATGCCTGGGTCATATTCCCCTCACCCAACAAACAAACAAAATGTATGAATTTCATGAAACCTATCGAGAACTTGTCAAGATTCATATTTCAACCCAAAAATAAATGAAGAAAATAGTCAAACAAATAAACAAAAAAAAATAAAAATAAATAATAATATTTATGAATCTCAACAAAAAAACTATATGTATGAATCTCATGAAACCTATCAAGAACTTGTCAATGGTCAGACTTCAAATAAAAAATAAATGAAGAAAAAACTTCAAACAACAAACAAATAAATAATATGTATGAATCTCATAAAACCCATCAAGACATTGTCAAGGGTCATATTTCAACCCAAAAATAAATAAACGGAAAGAAAGAACGGAAGAAAAAAAGTGGATGAAACTCACAAAACCAGTCAAGAATTTGACATATTTCAATCCAAAATACATAAATACACACAAAGGTGAGTAAACTATGACAGAATTTGCATTTTTAGATCAACTGTTCCCTTAAAATATTCTGAAATATCCCAAAAAGGCAAGTCACGGACCACAAGCATCAGCCTATTTGAAACGGTTTAACTCACTTTAATCAAGTGTACTTACACTTTGTTAGTAGTAACAAGGTTTCAAGGCAGGGTTATTGAAGATGGCAGAGGTCATGACCTTCTGCAAGCTTCAGACACTCACCAGACAATCAGGGTCCCACTATCTGAATCAGAGCAGAAGATGATGGTGAGGAACTCAATGGACAGCGAGAGGCTGG